CGAACTAATGATTGCGTAGCCCGACAAGTGGAAAACCTTTTTCTTCTTATTTCATTTGCAGTCTGATGGATTCTTTGAAGTAAATCTTCTTGAGTATTTACTTGAGTCGAGTAAACTAGCTCTTTCAATGACCCCCGAAAAATAGAAATCCAATGGATTTAGGTCAGGTGAACGTGGCGGCCACGCTAGAGGACCTCCTCGGCCTAACACCTGTCTGGAAAATTGACATTCAACCAATTTCGAAGATTGCTTCCAAAATGAGCAGGGGCGCCATCATGTTGTAAAAACATATTTTCTTGAAACTGCTGGCGCACATCCAATGGTTTTATATCCATGAGCTCATTCTGAAGAAAGTTCAGATACACCTCTGAATTAAGACGTTTAGGAAGTACAATAGGCCCAATTACTTGATCCCAATTACTATTGCCCATAAGTTCAATGAAAATGTTGGAAATTTGTACGGCGAACAACTTGTGGATTTTCATCTGACCAGTGATGCATGTTATGGAAATTAAAAGCACCATTCCTAGTAAATATTGACTCATCCGACCATAATAATCCAGGAATAGTGTTTTCATTTGCTAATATCCACTGGCAAAACTCGATTCGTGGTAAAAAATCTGCCTCCGTTAAATGTTGCACCCGTTTAAAATGATAAGGATGTAACCCTTGCATTCTTGTCATTCTTCCTATCTAAAATTATTATTTTTAGGATAACTATCAAATAGGTATTCATAAATTTTTCTTACTATTGATCTTAGTATATCCATATTTTCTGAAACATTTCGTATGCTTATTTGCGGATTATTTTCAAACATATTTAAAGCAATATCCATACGATGATTTCCCAGTGGCCTTCCTGAGCCCTGCATGCGCTGAAAACTTCCATGGTTTGACAAATTCCGGTGAATATCAGTAAACATTCGACGTCCAAGTACTATGCGATTGGGAAATCTTCTTTGATATTCTCTTACGGCTGCCAATGGAATGCCATTGCAAAACCAGTACACAAAATGCATGTCAGTCAGTTCTCTGTCTGTAAATCTTGACATTTTAAATCGATTTAATAAAAATTTTGATTTTAGTCTAGTAATTTTATACTGCTAACAATGTCAGCTTGACGTCAAAATAAGTCATAACAAATCAAAACAACTTTTGTTTGCAGTCACTATGTATAATCGACGATTCATTTAAATTCGCAGTACATTTCCTATGGTGTGACAAATTTTTTAGTTTGATTTTATTCTAAAATGGCACAATTTATCGATATTCGATAAGAGTTCCTTTTTTATGTAGAATACCCTAAATTTTCAAATTCTAAAATTGAATTTCAAAAATAGAATCACTGTAGCGCCCTTAGGGGGGACGTTTGTCGACCTATGTTTATATAAACTTTTCATCCTATTTTAAGCTGGTAGAATATTGCACACTTTTTTCGGGACACCCTGTATATTTAAAAAACTGCATGTTCATCGTAGTCTTCCGCAGCATTGTGAATTGAATCATGCGCTTCTTTTCTTTCCATTCCTTCCTAAAGCCAGAATTTATACGGAACTGTACAACGTTGATCCCTGCTCGAAGAACCACCATGTCATATTTCTAATAGTTTTCAACCATCCATTAGTGAATAATTTACGTAAATACACGAGTTTTTTGGGGATCACAGATACTTTTTTACGCCAAAGCATTTCTAACTTAGCTGAAATCACCCAGAAAATTGCAGAGCTCTTAGACAATAGGGGTCAGATGGATGTGGTCTATATGAATTTCTCAAAAGCCTTCGATAAGATTAGTCACCAAAGAATCATAGGTAAACTTCAGCATTTTGGTTTTATCAATCATTTATTAGATTCCATTTCTTCTTACTTGCATGATCAGTAAGTTTCTTACAATGGTTTCAAATCTTCACCTGACTCGGCCTCATCCAGTGTACCGCAGGGATCAAATGTAGGCCCTCTTCTCTATCTTTATTTTATCAATGACCTCCCTAACTGCTTAACCTGTCCTTCTCTGTTGTTTGCCGATGATTTAAAAATATATGCCCAGATTAACAGCATCAATGACTGTCTAACCTTGCAAGCTGACCTGAATCATATATTTGAATGGTGTTCAAGTAATAAATTATTTTTGAATGTTAGCAAATGCAAAACCTGTTCTTTCACCAGGAATACGAATCCAATAGTTTTTGATTACATGCTGGAAGGTGTCAGTTTGGTGCGTTGTTCAGAAGTACGAGATCTAGGTGTGTTGTTTGATATTAAATTAGAATTTACAGGTCATATAAGTACAATAGCATCATCCGCTATAAAAATTCTCAGTTTTTTCATAATAAACTGTAAATCGTTTGTTAGTGAAACAGCAGTGAAGACTTTATACTGCATCTTGGTGCATTCTAAGCTGGAATATGCATCTAGTGTATAGCATCCATATTACCAAATCTATACTAATGAACTTGAAAGTGTACAGAGGACATTTCTTAAATACTTGACTTTCAAATTAGATGGTGTTTATCCCAATCGTGGGACTCCCCAATCATCGATGTTGCTCAGATTTGAAATGCATCCTCTTGAACTGAGAAGAGTTTGTAATAGTTTAAAATTCCTTTACAAACTCGTACACAGTGATGTTGATTCTTCAGCTTTATTAGCTAAAATTGATTTTCATGTCCCGTCCTGCATTTCCCGAAGATCTCTCGCTTTTTACTTTAACACCAAATTCTAATGTTATGGTTAAGTCACCCGTGTACTTTATGTGCTCCAGCTTTAATACCATAGCTACTAATTGTGACAAACATTCATCATGAAAGATATATTAGCTGTATTCAGCGACTACTATTATTCAATGTATAACATTTAACACATGTAGGTGAGTAGGTGAAGCTATTCATTTTTTTTTCTTTCATTTTTTTCAGAAACTGGGCGAGCTATGATTGTAGTTAAAAATACTGTAACGTCAAATTGTACTCGATTACATAGTCCTTTAAATGGATGTATCTGTTATAATAATAATAGTGTTATTCGAAAATAAGAAAATACCTAGAGATGTCTGATTTGAACGTTTTAAGGAACGATGAATTATGTGCTTATGAGATCTATTTATAACTAATCGACTCTAATAGTTTAACTGAAGTGAAGATACCTTGTTTCAGAAAAATTATAGACATCCATCAAGGAAGCAACTGTTTAACCCTAAATATTATTGAAATGTATTCCCACACGACGATGCAGGATGATCCTCAATAGTTTTTAATTAACTTTGCGTCTCAAATTAACACTCATCCATGGACGTTTGGTTCACCCTGTATATGAGACAGAATTGCAATTTTGCTGAATCACACAGTAGATTTAACTACAAGAACGTAAATAAATATCATAGGTACAGCTAGCGTTACCAACTATTTTGTAACAGTATTATACTGATTTTCAATAAATTATACTTTTTACTGTTGAACAAAAATAAATGCCCATTACTATGTGTTAGGCGTAAAGTTAAGGCACTATAAAGGGGTTTACTCGGCAGTCATGTTGATTCCAGTCCAAAAATTAGCTCTTTATTTATCTTAATCTAAGTTTTAATTGTCGTGAAGCTTTCGAAGCTTTTCAAAATAACAATATATTGAGAAACTCGAAGAAATGTGCATTTAACAGAACAAACAAATGAAATACTGTTATAGAAAATTATTAATAAGCAAGTAAACACTGTTAATTTTCTTAAAATGCTGTTTATTTTCCTCCTCAGACCTAAATATACTTTATTTCTTGTAAAAAAGTTGGCAACTCTACATACAGCTATTGCATATTGTGTACCGAACCCACAAAATGGTGTTCTGGAAAGACTTTGTGGCAATGGACACTTGCATTCACGTGTTGAGGGATACAAAATTCTTGATCTAAAAAAAAAAAGTAATGTATAGTTTTTATGATTTTTTTGCAGTTTGTGAGGCAGGATACTATCATGCTGTGATATAGTAATTGGCAAATGACTTTTATGACGATTAACAAAAAATGCATGTCTTGACTAACAAAGATTTTCTAATCTATCGTATAGTACCTACCGAGTCTCCCAACTTGACGATCAAAACCATTGATTCCCAAAGTGGTCTATATCGACCCCTAGGGGTCTATGACAACCTGCAAGGGGTATACGTCAGCGAAAAAAAGTTTGGGGGTCCAGGAAATTAATATGGGGGTCCACGATAGTGGATCTCAACACACACACACTGATAGTACCTATTTACTTACATCATACTATCTTATAATATCAAAACATATACATTATTTATAAAAGTACCTATGAAGTAAAAAAATTATTACATATGTTTATAAAATTGTGTAAGTTGTAGGATGTTGGTATTCGCTTTGTGGTCGCAATACATTTTGAACTTCTAAAACCCTGAGAGTCGCAGTCTCAAAGCTTCGCTACCTTGCACTGACTTGTTCAATTCGTCAATCTATAATACGTTTATTCGTTTCCTGAATCTTGAAAAGGAAAGTGCTAAGAAAATATTTTAAAAATATAAACAGATAGTATATCACACAAATTATAGTGAGTCAGTGTTATTTTGTTTGAGAGTGCTGGAGAAAAGTAAGTACATTATTTTTTATTAAATTTTAGTTTTGTACTCGTAGTTAGCAAAGATAGATAAATTACGCCAATCATGACTAGTTATTAGTAGTTAAATATTCAATCATGCAAAATTACACGAGTACTCCTCAATAGTTTCTTTTTGAAAGTCTTAGCAATCGGTAATATAATTACAGTGCAATCTCCGTAATTCGAGCTAATTGTTGAAAGAAGATGTTCGAATTATGGAATGTTTTCGGAAAAATCAAAAAATATGTTTAATATACAGCTGCTGGATTTTCTGTCTTATTTAAATAATTTAATTTTGCCCACAGATGACTGATGCCATGTCCGAATCTAAAAAGAAATGTAGACAGTACAGTGTTGATTATTTGAAATTTGGCTTCATTCCATCATTGCCGGACAAACAATCGCCTATGTGCCTTTTATGCAACAAAGTTTTGGGCAATGACGCTATGAAACCATCTAAACTGCAAGATCATCTGAGAAGATGCCACCCTGATAAAACAGAGAAAGATTTGAAATACTTTCAAACACTCAAAGATAAATTTCAGAAGAGACCTACACTGGACAGAATGTTCGCTTCGACGTCACAAAGAAATGATGATGGTTTGCGGGCGTCTTACAATATCTCGTTACTTATAGCAAAATCCAGAAAACCGCATACTATCGGGGAGAAGTTAATTTTGCCAGCCGTTGAAGAGGTTTTAAAAACTGTTTTACACAAACCTGCATCTGATATCATTAAAAGAATTCCCATAAGCAACAATACTGTTGAAAGACGTATTGATGAAATGAGTTCTGATATTGAAAGCTTCTTATGTAATTATTTGCAAACGACCCATTTCTCTATACAACTGGACGAGTCTACTTTACCTGATAATGCAGCATTATTATTGGCATATGTTTGTTTTATTATGAATCAAGAAATCTACGAAGAACTGCTCTTCGCAAGAACTTTGATAACCGACACTAAAGGTGAATCAATATTTCATGTTTTGAAGGATTACTTCATTGAAAAAGTAATTCCTTTATCAAGTATAATATCAGTAGCTACAGATGGAGCACCTGCCATGGTTGGACGTTATCGTGGATTTATAAGCTATTTAAAACAAAATGTGTCAGGGGTGTTAGCAATACATTGCGTCATTTATCGACAACATTTAGTTGCTAAAAACTAGAGTGTTAGATTGCATGAATCACTTCATTTAGTCATTGATGCAGTAAACCGAATCCGAAGCAACGCATTGAATACGCGGTTATTTGCACAGTTGTGTGAAGAAAATGACGAACAGTTTCATCAATTACTCTTTCACACTGAAGTACGCTGGCTGTCGAAAGGCTTATGTTTGACAAGATTTTTTGCACTTTTTGAGACTATTACAGAATTTCTGGATACTAAAGATAAAATTTTAAAAGAAAATTTAATGAAGAGGAAAAAAGACATCGCCTATTAACAGGTTTGTTTACAAAATTTAATATGGCTAATTTGCAATTACAAGGCGACAGTTCATCGTCCATCAGCGCTTCTTGCCAGAGTTAAACTAATGAAGCAAAATATTGGACGGGGCGAATTTTTTCAGTGCCCCAATTTGTGACAGACAAGCTGCCAGGAAGACGACGTTTCAACTTACGCTCAACATTTAAATGCCCTCTATTCAGATTTTGAATCTAGGTTTGAGGATATTTGGACTATGGTAATACCACCGTGGATAACTAATCCATATGGTGACATAGAAGAAACGAATGTCATAATATAAGAGGAACTGACTGAACTAAGTACAAACGAAGAACTTAAGGTTCAGTTTAAAAACGGATATCAGCAATTCTGGCTGCAAAACAACATACCCGTTACTTATCCCGTATTATGGAATATAGCGAGGAAATTTTTAATTTCCTTTCCATCGTCATACCTAGTGGAAAGGGGGTTTAGCGCTGTTACCAATCTCCTAACGAAAAAAAGAAACAGACTGGACATCATTAGCCGAGGAGATTTAAGATTAACCCTTACAAAATTGACGCCAAATGTTGATAATTTATTATTAAAGCATCAGGTTCATCCTTCTCACTAAAAATATTGATTTATTACTTATGCTATTTGATTTATAGTTTATTTTATGTTTATTGGTGTCTGACCAATAAATGCCCGCATTGGGAATAAGTGCGCGCATTGATTTTTTTAAAGAACCCCCCTTTATAGAAATTTTTTTTTTAAATTATTCTGAAAATTCAAGGATAGGTACACACTAAAATTCGTTAATTTTTTGCCTATTTTTAGATAACTTAAACGTATAAGAAGCGGAATTTAATCAAACTAACAGTGAAATTATTGTAGAACATACGTTTATGTTATAATTAATAAACTAAATATTGTACTATTTTAAGTAAAAAACTTTTTTTTTACTATTTTTCACTTTTTTTTTCATTTTATCCCTCTTATTTTTTTTCAATGCGGGCACTTATTCCCAATGCGGGCACTTATTGGTCAGACACCTGTTTATTTAATGTAACGTATATTTTACATAACAGATACAAAATTTTATTTTGAGTAGTTTTAATTTAAATTCAATTAATAAATGTATAAATTAACATGTGTTTTTACTTTAAGTTTTCAACACTAAACTTCACTACAGTTAGAAATTTACATGCAATCAATATCAGGTAAGTAGGGGGTCTACTCAACACGGAAAAACGTGGCAAGGGGTATACGACATAAAAAAGTTTGGGGAACCCTGATCAAAACCATAAAAATTCAACAAAAACCACCTCGCAACGACATCTCTCGAACCATCACGCAACCCCTGCAATAGTTCGTTCCGACCGTACCCCGTAACAAGATCCAGCTGGCGGTTGAACCCCACTCCAGTCAGCGCACCACGCTTTCGGAAGGGTGGGGATGAACCACCCCTCCTGCCGGGGATAAGAGTCAGCGTGTAGCGAGGGTTTACGCTGAACGGGGAAAGGAATCTGTAAAACGGGGTAGGTCGTCGAAATTGAAGGTTTGCAAGGGGTGATTTGGTTTGGCTAGAGGATAATAGAGGGCGCTACGGGGAAAGTTTCAGAGAAATGTGGCTTTCTGAGTAATCTGCTCATACGTTCTGGCTCTATCAAGTCACTGTTAAGTTTCTATATCGGTTACTAGATTTTAATTCTCTCGGGTTTCTTAAGGAAACAATATCTAATTGGAGATATAATCATAATAATAATTAACGTCTTTTATTTGTAATATTCTTACAGGAGGCGTGATTTAGATAATATATCTATTCTACCATCTAACCCCCTTAACAATACGAAATGTAAAAAAACAAAATTTGTTGAAAATTAATAGCTGTATACAATAACGACAGAATAAAGTATAATCTAAGTAAAGGCATAAGGAAAATGTGAGGCCACTTATTGGTTACAACAGATTTCGCTGCTGATTAAGTATAACTTTTTTCACTTTTTTCTTGAATTTGGGTAATGGATTGGTTTCTTTTAAACTGCGGTCTAAAGAATTATATGATTTGATCGCATTGTAAATATACTCGTAAGTATTCTGAAATAGAGATCTGTATGAATTTGTTTACTACATATGGTAGAGGTTTTCCGGGGGTTTCGCTCATCCAACTGCAAGTGAACTCAATAAAAAAACTATTCTACCTAACAAGGTGAAAAAAGAAAGGAGAACAAACAGAAATGAATTGGCTTTTAGACAATAACACATGAAGGGTGTTGAAAAATATTGTCAGGATAAAGGAATACAGTTATGGAATCTTTACTTTAAAAACAATACTGATTTACAGAAAACACAAAGGTGCCCTAAAAACACACAGAGAACTAACGTATTAAAAACTGTATGGTTGGTCATCAAAACAAGGCATCAAACAACAAGGAAAACATTGGTGAATTACAAAATGTACACAGGTCAAATCACTGATAAAATTCAATTGAGATTATGGAATGCATTTCTAGTAAGGATTTATTATATAGCTTTGGCCCATTGTGTACTACTCCGTCACAGGATTTTACTAACCATAAAGAAAAAGTATTTGTATGAAAGGAATTCCGTACATTCGTAGAGCAGGAAATGCCACGATACAAGGTGTTCAAATTGTGTGTCTCAACAAATAATTATACGCCACTGGTTTGTAAAACACTAATATTATATATATTCCTTCTTCCTGAAAAGTGCTCCTTGGAATATATCGTTACATTCCTTAAAAAAATGGCACCTCAATCACTATTTTTTAGCAACGATAAACAGAATGATAAACTGATATATTTTTTAAAAATGATGCGTCTCAAAGAAAAGCTTCAAGACACAATATTTAAATAAAATCAACTGGCTTTGTGATACTTTTTTACAAAAGCGAGTGACGTATTATTTTTACACTAAACATAATGACTTGCCGAAAAAATGCCACTCAACAATTTTGTACGTGTATTGATTGTTTGATAAATAATAAATAAATAAGTTATATGTATTTGTGCGGACCAAAACTTATTCCATCCAAATATCCACCCAAAAAAATAATAGAAAAAACTCAAGTGCATAAGAAAATAATAACAACAATAACAATAATCTATATTTGCAAATCCAAATAGCTGTAAACCATTTGTGATTGGTCAATCAAAGAAAGGTAACGATAAAATCTTGCTCCATTATACAGGGTGGCGCATCGAAAACGAAACAGACGCATTTACTGGCAGCTCAGTTTTTTTTGGAAATAAGAAAATAATAACACCAATAACAATAATCTATATTTGCAAATCCAAATAGCTGTAAACCGTTTGTGATTTGTTAATCAAAGAAAGGTAACGATAACATCTTGCTCCATTATACAGGGTGGTCCATCGAAAACGAAATATTTCCTTATCTTTCTTCAAGAAATAACTTTTTCCACAAAAAAAAACGCTCCAATAGCTATTTTCAACAACAAAATGATAAACAAACCATGGGCGTAGTGAAGAAAAGCATTTACTTATTAAATAAATTCTTTTAGTCAAATTTCTTCGGAAAGAAGTACAAACTAATCTGATGTACCTATTAAAGTCTACTTTAAGCTTTAAATCAATAAATCTTCAAAACTACCGAACTGAAGCTCATGTATTTTACATCATTATAAAGGGAATTGAAAGACGTTTAAAATAAGGTATCACTCGACCCCCCTTTCCATTTAAGATTTTAGGGTTGGTGTCACCCCCGCCCAAGGGGCTGCACGTGTTAACGTGATTTTTTGCCAAACTTGTGTCCCCCTCGAAAACAAAATCAACGGGTCCGAGCGTTTTTCCAAAAAAAAAACTGAGCTGCCAATAAATGCGTGTTTCGTTTTCGATGCGCCACCCTGTATACATACATATTAAGCAAATCTGTCATGAAAAAGTCATCGATTGTATATGGTTCTAGATATTTTTTTAATGCACTTAGTTTTACGATATTTTCCCCAAATGCTAGTAAATGCTTAAAAAGTTTGAGAACATTGTACATCAACAATCGACGGATCTCTACAGGTATATTCAAAAGCTTATTGCGCAGCTTGTACAAACATTGTTAAACGACATTAAAATTAGATGAATCCCAGAAACATACACAACTAAACCATTCCGAAATAATAATCTTGAAATGTATAGATTATACAAGGCTTTCTTTGCATATTTCAGTATTTATCAAGAATATTGAATCTGCAATAATGATTTAAATTAGCAGAGAGCTGACAGCTGACCTAGGAAATGAAATAATTATTGAATAAATGATATTTTGCAGTACTGGTGAATAACAGTCAACAATTTAAATGTAATAGACAAGGTAGGAGATGTATCAAAAATATGCACGAAGAGTCATAGTGAAGTCCTAACATTTTGAAACAGTTTGGTTGTTCAATTTTAGTCTCTCCCACCTTATTTCAAAAACTAGCATCCTAGATAGTTCAAACAGATTTTTCGGTTTGGAGGGGAAGACCTTGACCGCGAACTTCAAGGTCATTTTAAGATCAAGCGAACATTTTCAAATAGAATTCCCTTTTCTTCACACTGAAATTGGAAAGAGGAGGAAATTTTACGTCTGAATATGACCTTGAACATGTGTATGACTCTTCAAGGCCATTTCAAATTCAACTAAAGACCTTGAAAACAATTTGCAATATCATAAAGTGTTACATAGTTCAGTTGTGAGGCTTGTCGGGTCACCAAAAGATGACCT